TTCGGTCAACATTTTGAGTAAACGACCTCAGAATTGGGATTTGACGGTTTCAATAGGTTCGTATGATGATTTCGGACTTAGGCGTATGTTCGGATTGGGTTTTGGATGACCCGGGAGGGTTTCGGCGCCTAATAGTGGAAGTTGGAAATTTGAGCAAATTCCATAAGTTTGGGTTTAAATGGACTTTTACATGCTAGGCGTCCGTTTAGGATTCCGAGCCTAGGAATAGCTCAGTACGATGATTCTGGACTTAGGAGCGCATCCGGAAGTGGATTCGAAGGTCCGTAGGTCGTTTCGGAGTCATTTGGCGAAAGTTAGAACTTGAAGTTTTTGGAAAGTTTGACTGAAAGTGGACTTTTTGATATCGGGTTCGAATTTCAGTTCCGAAAGTTGGAGTAGGTCTGTAATGTCCTTTATGACTTGCACGCAAAGTTTGGCATCATTCCGAGTTGATTTAATAGGAATCGGATGCGCGGAAGCGTTTTAGAAGTTTTTAGAGTTCATGAGTAAATTCATGCGTTTTGGTGCCCAATTCATAGTTTTTGATGTTATTTCGGTGTTTTGTTCACGCGAGCATGTTCATATGATGTTGTTAGACTTGTGTTAGTATTTAGTGTGGAGACCCGAGAGCTCGGGTGAGTTTCGGACGTGTGAGAGGAGTTGAAAACACACCAAATTCCTGGTGTTCTTGGCTACTGCTGCAGATCTCGCAAATGCGAGAGATTGTTCGCAAATGCGAACCTCGCATTTGTGATGAGGGCTTCGCAATTTCGAAGAAGCCCGACCCAGGCAGTGTTCGCATTTGTGACTCTTTGGTCGCATTTGCGACCCCAGCAGCTGAAGCCCAGGCTTCGCATTTGCAGGCTTTTGTCGCATTTATGAACTTGGTATCGCGAATGAGACATCAGAGGGCTGTGTCCAGCTCTTTTAATGCGGGACTTAGGCTATTTATTTCATTTCACTTCATCTCTTAGGTAATTTTTGGAGCTTTTGGAAGAGGGTTTTCACCTAGCACTTTGAGGTAAGTAATTTCTACACAACATGAGTTAAATACATAGATTATGGGTAGATTAACATGTAAAAATTAGTGAAAATCGAGGATTTAGATGAAAACCTAGATTTTTGATAAAAATGAGATTTGACCACAAAATTGGTTATGGAACTTAGTAAAAATTATATATTTATGTTCCTAAGGCTATGGGTAACAACTTTCCTCAAAAAATTTCGGAATCCGGGCACGATGGCCCGGGGTGAATTTTAGGAATCTTGCAGTTTGGGTTGGCTAATCACTTTAATAGCGGAGATAAGGACTTTTGAGTATAAATTGATTAGTCTATGTAATGTTTGACTAGTTTCGAGTCGGCATCGAATTTGGAGGTTTGAGCGCATTCATGAATAGGGAAGTAGGCTTTGAGACGAGGTAAGTCTCTTTTCTAACCTTGTAAAAGGGAATTAACCCCATATGTGAATTAAATAAATGTTTGTACCAATTTGTGGGGGCTACGTACGTACGAAGTGACGAGAGTCCGTTTGTAGCTATTGTTATGCTATTGTCCGGGTAGTTTAGGACCCGTATCATAAATGTTTGCATCCTTACTTGCTAATATAATCACTTGAATCATGTTAGAAATTTATAAAAGAATTATAGAAGATTATATTCACTTACATGAAGATTTGTATGAGATACTTGACTGTGAATGAGAAATTTATGTTTCAAAAAAATAATTGTTATTTGTGGATCGGGACGAGCGCCTCGGTAGTAAATAGATGAATCTATAGTTCGCGCCGTTAGACCCTCTGCAGTGCACAGTTTAATATTATGTTGGACCGGGCCGTACGACCTTGGCATAGTATGCGCATGTTAATTATTTGGAACTCATCGTGATTTATACTGCTTAAATTCCTTGAAATGTAAGTTGTTAAATGATATGACTGAAATTGAAATTATATTTGTGAAAGAAGAACTTATCACTTTCTGTTATTGAACTTTCAGTATTATTCATGATATCCATGCTTAGCATAACACTTTAAATACATTATTGTTCATAGTAAGTATCTAAGTCGACCCCTCGTCACTATTTCTTCGAGGTTAGACTGGATACTTACTGGGTACATGTTGTTTATGTACTCATACTATACTTTTTTACTTCATTTTACAGGATCTGAGGCAGGTGCATCTAGTTATCCGTCCGGCGCACGTAGTTGATCCCCTTTTCAAGACTTCACGATGACCTGCCTTCTGAGCCGATCTGCAACAGCTGGAGTCATCCTTATACTTTACTTTTCATCTATTTTCTCTCAGACAGTAGGCTAGCAGTATTCTTTTGTATATTCAACTAGATTGTCCACACACTTGTGACACCAGGTCCTGGCACACTCACTAGTATATTTAGATTTTAGGTTTGCTTATATGATTTTGATTAGTACTTATTGCTTCCGCTTATTTATGTTTCACTTGCGAATTTCTAAATCTTTTTAACAAATAAGGAAATATTGCTACTTAATAATTTATTTAAACGGAAAATCACCAGTTGATCGGTGTTGGCTTGCCTAACAACGGTGTTGGGCACCGTCACGGCCTATAATGGAATTGGGTCGTGACATAAAAAAAAACTCAAAATCATATTCATGTCCAAATACAACTCTAAATTTCAATACCATTTTCACTTAGAATTTTGTTTACCCCTTTTTGGAATTTTACAATTCTTATGTCCAAATTCCCACTAAGAGCGTGTATACAATGTCATTTTTTCAATAGTTAGTAGAATTGTAAGGCCCAAAAAGATAATTTGCACTCTTTACTTAGGCCCAAAAAGGAAATACTATTGCAAGAGAGACAATGCAGTAGCAATGTTTAAGAAGGAAAAGGGAAAAGAAGAAAAAAACTTATAGGTCACTTAGGGGTCGTTTGGTTTGAATAGAGGTTATGCTGGGATTAGTTATTATGGTATTATTTTTTATCCACTATTTGGTATGTTGCATTAAAAATGACATGCATTGTATAATTTCTAAGAAGAAGTTGTTTGTTTACAAAAATACCCTCCATCTTATTCTTGCTCCTTTATTCCAATTGACACGTCAATTTTCAATTCTTACATCAACAAGTATTACATAATTTTTTGAGGCTCTAGTTTTCAATTCTTTGAAATATATTTGCTGATTTCTTCTTCTAAATCTTCTTGATGATATTGGACAATAATTGATGATCCATAAGAAAACCTAACTTTTCCATAATAAAAATAAAAAGAATTAATATACAAAAAAATTCAATTAGAAAAAGGAGTCTATGAGCAAAAGTTTATATTTTCCAAGCACATATAGAGAAACAAATGAACCCAACGAATATTTGGAAAGAGGACCTTAGGGCTTTTTTGTGAATTTCACCATTTTGTCCTAGGATAATAATCCCAGTATTAATTATCCCACCCCCTACAAGGTATAAGTTATACCGTTACTAATTTTAATCTCGGGATAACTTGGCCAGGTTTAGTAACCAATAAGATATAAGGTGGTATTAAATTTTTATTCCAGCACTATTTTTACTTATCCCTCATACCAAACGACTCCTTACTATGTTTGTCAATTAACTATGGTCATTTGTATTTGGATGGTTCGAACTTAAAACTTCTTATTAAATATAAAATTTGACAAATTTTTAGTGATATTTGTGCAAATTTAGAGACGGGACCCATGATGCAGACGTAGAGGTTAAGCTTGATGCTCAAGTTATCCCCAAGAGAGCGAGTTTTAAGTATCTCGGGTCTATTATCTAGGGTAACGGGAGATTGACGAAGATGTCGCACATCGCATCGGAGCGGGATGGATGAAGTGGAGGCTCGCTTCCGGTATTTTATATGATAAGAATGTGCCGCCAAGACTTAAGGGTAAGTTTTATCGAGTGGTGGTTCGACCGGCTATGCTGTATAGGGCTGAGTGTTGGCCAGTCAAGAACTCTCACATGCAGAAGATGAAAGTAGCAGAGATGAGGATGTTGAGATGGATGTATAGGTGTACCAGGAGAGATAAGATTAAGAATGAAGCTATCTGGGATAGGGTGGGAGTAGCCTCCGTGGAGGACAAGATGCGGGAGTCGAGGCTGAGATGGTTCGGACATGTTAAGAGAAAAAGCATTGATGCTCTTGTCAGGAGGTGTGAGAGGTTGGCCATGGAGAGTTTGAGAAGAGGTCGAGGTAGGCCTAGGAAGTACTGGGGAGAGGTGATTAGACAGGACATGGCGCTGCTTCAGCTCACTGAGGACATGACCCTTGATAGGAGGGTGTGGAGGTCGAGGATTAAGGTAGAAGGTTAGTGGGTAGCTTTTTAGTTGTTCACCGATAGTCTTAGTGGCATGCATGTCCCTTCATATTCTTAGATTTTTATTACGTTATGTGGTTTTGTTCGACTCAGGTATTGTATTCCCTGTTGCTATTATTTGGTACTACTTATCCTTTATCTCTCCCTTTTTCTTTTCTCTTCCTTCTTTCTTTCTTCCTTGCTTTCCTCTTCTTCTTGCCCTTCCTGAGCTGAGGTTCTATTGGAAACATCCTCTCTACCTGCATTAGGTAGGGGTAAGGTCTGCGTACAGACTACCCTCCCCAGACCCCACCTGTCTGGATCATAGTGGGTTTGTTGTTGTTGTAGTAGTACTTTTAATTGAACTAAATAAAGGTGATTTAGTGCAAATGTGAATAGAATTTTTGTTTTGAAACTTAAACCGAAGCATCTTGTTTGTTTAAGTATTATACATACAAATAAGTCATTAAGTGCTTTTTAAGTTGATTTGAACAGCTTTCGAACTAATCCAATCACCCTCAAAATTGTCCAAAGCCATCCTAAGAAATGTAAAAGTAAACACTACCGAAAGATAGACAATTTAGTAGAATTTTTTTTATAATAAATTTAGTTTATCAATTAATCATGGTCAAATAGTACTTCAATTTGTTACTTTTGAAATGTAACTATTGTTTGATATTAGAAATAACTAACTTCCCCTAAATAGTATAGTAGTAGTACTAACTTGCCCAATTCTATTCTCACACTGCACAAACTACCAACCAAAATACACTGTAATTTTCTAATTCTCATAAAAACTGTCGAAATCACATATATAAATTTCCCTATGTTATCAAACTTAGTCAAAAAATTTTTTTATGCGTGTGATAAAAGCCAAGCAAATTCTTATGTTATCTTCTTTGAACTGTAATCTCAAGGCCGACTGCTATCTTCTTGACCTAGCAGGTAAATGCTATTTTCAGTTCCATTACAATCATATGTGAATCTTGGATTATTTCTATTTCATTGTTGAATTAGTGTAGAATTCTTTTGTTGTTGTAAAGATTGGTTCTTTCCCAAAATCCGAAACACCCCAAGTTTTATTCTTTTCTGTTCTTTTACATTGGAGCTTCAATCAGGGGAATTTTTAGGTACTCCAACACGTTGTACTTTTTTTGTTGTGATATTAAGATGGGGTTTTGGGGTTCGCTCAAAGTCTTTAATTACTAAGGAATGTAGGGAAATGGGGAAAAAAACAGTAAGGGAAAGATTGAGTCACAAATAGAGGTGGCAAAATGATTAAAAGAAAAGAGGTATCCACCCATATTATCCATTAAAAAATGGGTTGGATAATGAACTTTTTAAAAACGGGTTAGAATACGGATAAGAACCATATTATCCACTTAGAAAATGGTTAACCAAATTGATAACCAATGGATAACTAATGTGTGTAACTTTTACATTTGTAAAGCCTCAAATTGAGGATTCCTCAAGTTTGGGAGACTAGGAATTCTCCCATAAGTGATCATATTCAAGAAGCCATGGATAATATGGATATGCATATTATCCGCTGGATAACCCGTTTTTTATCCGTCTCACATACGGGTCGGGTCGGATAATTTATCCGTTATTTGAATTACCCGTTTTCGACCCGCTCATATTCGCCCCGCCCGTTTGCCACCCCTAGTCACAAATGAAGAGAAATTAGGAGAAAAGTTTAGCAAATTCACTTCATTGATGGAGCAATATCTTTAAAACTATAAAGAGAGTAGGAAAGATCAAGAACTAGTGGGGATGGGGATGGGGATGGTTATAATATGTCTCTAAGCTCTTGTAGGAATGGAAAATGGTTGTAGAAACTCAGGGTATACACACTCGCGTGTCTATTTCCTTGGCATGTATCATATTCTTGCTCTGAGGTTTACTTCTATGGCATTCATCACACTCCTGCATTTGCACCATCTAATTGTTTAGGCTAATTCAAAACTGGCTTTAGTTTCTATTGAATTGATTTTCTTTTTTGATTTAACCATCTAGTATCCGGAATCCACTGGCCCAGCTAATTCGGATTTCGCCGCAAGTAAGGCCCATTAAAGGGGAAATATTCCCTACTAGTTTTTTCCATTCTTAGGTGTCGAATTCGAGATCTTTGGTTAAGGGTTAAGGGGTCCATCTATCCTCCACACTCCATTGTGGTCGTATTGAGTTTGAGTGCGCACCAACAGCTGAAGCATGCATGAATTCTATAAGCTGTTTCCTGTGTTTCTTGCGTTTGCCTGGCATTGCCACCCATGTCTTTCCTTGATATTTGAGCACCTTATCCTGAGGAGTTACATGGGAAATAGGATGTTGATTAATGCTTGGGTTGTAATACCCTTGATTGTGTCATCATCTAGCCATAGTCTTCTATGACTTCCTTATCCATGTTGGTTGCGACTTGTTTATAGCGTTGCAAGTAGAGTATTCTACAACCCTTACTGATTGTGCATCAACTGTATCAGTCTCATCTGTTTTTCCCTATTGGATCTCATAGCTTAGTTCCAATAGTTCGGCCAACCCTTCACGTTGAGATGATGTTTGCGTCCTTAGATACTTTAAGCTGAACTGATCAATCTTGATGATAAAATGAAACAGGTGTACATGTTGGGTGTGTTTGGTAGGAAGGAAAATGTTTTCCTAGAAAATGTTTTCATGGAAAATGAGTGTGCTTATGACTTATTTTCCCTTGTTTGGTTGGTGAGTGAAAAGAAAATACTCATTTGTTAAAATAAATAAAAAAGTACTCTATCTATAACATGAAAAGCAAGTATTATTAATAATATTTCTATTTAGGGTGGGGGTAGGGTGAGGGGGTGGGGCGGGTTAGGATGGGTAGGTAGGGGGAGGGGTTGTGGGAGCTGGTGGGGATGGGAAAATAGGGTAAAGAAGGTTGAAAAAGAGTTTTGGAAAATGTGTTTTCCCTTCTCTTGATAGGGAAAACATTTTCCTAAGCTGGTGGGGATGGGGAAATGAAAAAGAGTTTTGGAAAATGTTTTCCCTTCTCTTGATAGGGAAAGCATTTTCCTCCAATTGGAGGAAAATGAGTTCATGAGGAAAATATTTTCCAAAACATTCAAGCCAACCAAACATGGAAAAATTGGAAAACATATTCCGGAAAACACCAAACACACCCGTTGTCTACATTTTATTACAGCTAGTGAGAGGTGAGAGAGGTCTATGAGCTCTTCTCCATAGGTCGGGAGACCTTGATGTTTGATGCTAAGTGCTTGACAAGGAAATGTAATAGGTTTCCCTTCTTGCATCACCACATTATGTATCCTTTTACTTTTAGTTATGCACTTTTACAATAGAGGTTTTGGTAAAATCCAGTAATGCCAGGAGTTGTGCCTCTATCATGGCCTCTTTGAGGTCTAGGAATACAGTGGCGGCTTCATGGGATCCGTGCAGAAACATCCCTTCTTCAGTAGGAACATTAAGGGACCTGCTGACCGGTCCATAACTTCAATTAAGTCTTCTGTAATAGAATATGAGGTCAAGGAATTCGATCAGCTCCTTGATTGATAGGGCAATGGCCAATTGTGCTTTCTTTTCTCCACTTCTGCTAACTCCTTTCAAGTAGCTACTTGCTTGGCTTCAAACCGTTGCTTCACTACGGTCAGTTTCACTTCTTCCCAAAGTTAATATATGTCCCAACTCCCAAGTGTCCCATGGACTTCTTTGCCGGCAAGTGATGCCCCTTAGCCACTCTAGCACAATCTCAAGTGCCGAATGATCTACAAAGGAGAAGCTGCAGGCTACAACATCCAAGAATAAGGATCATTTTCCTTGGTTATAAATCCGAAAATCTCATGCACAAGGGGCTATATTCTTAAATCTAAAGGGCATCATCCTGAACTACCACGTCACTGTGTCCAATAGGTAACCGTCGAACCAATGGTCCATCGTATTCTATATACGCCTGGATACTGCAAGAAACTTCTCATACCTTCTCGCACATTGGGTTAATTTCCACTCATTCTAAGACAAGGAGGAAACATTTCTCTCGTACTTTCTAGAGAGATTGTTGTGACTCTGCCATGTAATAACACTTTTAATAAGAAGTGCTTGATGAGGCGATCGGAGAATATGCCGCTCTGAGGTACTGATACGTTGCATTCATTATGGACTGAGGTTTCACTAGAAAAAGAGGGCATAGTTTGTATGGTAGGATTATTCAACTTGTTGTTTCAGTCTGCTATGTGGTCAGATGTTTTTAGCTTTGAATTGGAAGTTTCTAAATGTGATTTTTGAGCTTGGCATCAAGGTAGGCCAACTGTGAAATTTTGTTTTGCTGTAACGCGTTCAAAAGTCAGTCCACTGATTATATTGCTAATGTATTGGTTAACCTCTTTGACACAATTTTGTGCAATGTTTGGCTGAGAAGAGATATCGGCCTTTTTCATTCAGAAGAGTGTTATGTAAAATTCTAGCAATTTACTTCATGATTCTCTTTATTCTAGAGCTAACGATTCAAATTGCATATTTCAGGTTGACGTCAGCCAACAGTAGCGCACCACAATCATTATTTGCTGATAAAAATAGATGCAAGCTTGGTGGTTATGACTGCACTCATTGAAGGTCTTCCCAATGCTGTTGCCCTTAGGTGCATTGCACGGGTTCCGTTCCACCTTCATCCAAAGTTAGAGCTTGTTTCCCATTCCTGGAGAGCTGCCATTCGAAGTACCGAACTATTTAAAGCGAGAAAGGAGGTCAACTCGTCTGAAGAGTTTTTATGTGTATTTGCATTTGAACCTGAAAACTTATCGCAGCTTTATGATCCTATGCATGACCGTTGGATTACTCTCCCTATTCTCCCCTCAAACATCAGTCATCTTGCTCGCTTCAGTGTTGTTTCTACTGCTGGAAAGCTGTTTGTTTTAGGCGGTGGCAGTGATGCTGTGGATCCATTGACAGGTGACCAAGATGGGATTTTCGCGACTGATGAGGTCTGGTCATATGACCCTGTAACCCGTGTGTGGAGACGGTGTGCGTCTATGATTTTCCCTCGTGCCATGTTTGCTTGTTGCGTGTTGGAGGATAAGATAATTGTTGCAGGGGGTTTTACTAACTACAGGAAATCAATATGTAACGCGGAAATCTATGATCCAGAAAAGGATGTCTGGGTTCAATTACCCGATCTCCATCACGCGCACAATTCCGCATGCTCAGGAGTGGTTGTTGGCGGTAAAGTTCATGTCTTGCATAAAGGTTTATCGACTATTCAGGTTTTGGAAAATGTCAAGCAAGGTTGGACCGTTCACGAGTATTCTTGGCTCCAGGGTCCAATGACTGTCGTTAGGGAAAAGCTTTATGTTATGAGCAATTGGTTCATTTACAAGCAGGAAAAAGAAGTAAGAGAGATGGTAGTTTCAGCATCTGAGTTTCGTAGAAGAATTGGGTTTGCTATGATAGGGCTTGGAGATGATATTTATATAGTTGGAGGGGTTAATGGACCTGAGCATTGGAATTGTAACATCAAAGTGCTGTCTGATGTTGATGTATTGACGCTTGGAAATGAGAGGTTGGTGTGGCGTAAGGTTGCTCCAATGACAAGGTGCAGAGGGACAATCCTTGCCTGCACACAGCTGAGAATTTAGGACATGCATAATGTGGATGAAATTCAATGCAGTGTTTTAGGGTAAATGCTACAATAAACGATTGACAATAAAATGGCTGCTAGTTGTAGCACGCAGCGTACTGGTGAATAGGAAAAACGAATTAAGATTACTAATGACGGATGGAAGTTGAGGGTGAATGTGTTAGGTGCCTGGCCCTTCTCTCCTTCTCCGTAGACTGAATATGATGGGGATCTTATCTGAAATGACCTTTGTGAGCTGTCTCGGCTTAGCTATTACCTGTCTAAAAGCTACGGTAAATAAAATCCCATGCCAGAAACGCGGAAGAAATGAGATGTTCAGCTTTCTTGCACCCTGCTTGTCTAATGTGTAAATCCTATTGCTTTCAGCTGCTGAGTTCTTAGAGGAATGAAGTTCAGTTCGTACTTTGAGAACTAGAGATATTATCATGACATATTACATGTATTTGCATTAATGAGCACTATAGTGCTAAATACTTGGTTACTTCAGTCCTGCTTTCGTTGCTTAAGGGGCATTATTTTGTCGATTGAGGCGTAGTTGTTATTGTTTTTGTTGTCAATCTTCACTCTATTGGTGTATATCTCGGTTAGTTTCTCAAAATAGCAGTTAAAGTTCGTATTCTGTTGTGTCCCAAATTCCACTTGGTGCGGTTAAAGATTGACCCACACTCGCTCAAAAATGAGTTTAACCTGTCGACATCTGCATTGTTACACAATTAAGTCACTTAAAAAATTATATATGACTATATATAAGATTGAAGTTGTAGGGGCGGATCCAGAAGTTATAGGCCGTGGATGCTTAAATAATCTTAGTGTAAATTCTAAATGGTCAAACGTGATCATAATGGGTGCTCATGGTCAATTATTAAATTTTTTAGGTATTATCTATGAACATATTGCGCAATTTGGCCAAAGCCAATGGGTGCTTCAGCGCCCATACCTCCAAAGATAGATCCGCCACTGAGCGGCAACAACTTATGATAACACAATTAAGAGTCTGTTTGGCCAAGCTTCTAGTACTATCAAAAAGTACTTATTGAAAATTTTAAGAAAAAGTACTTTTGAGCAGCAGTAGGAGTTTTTCTGCTTTTGGGGAGGAGATGCAAATTCTAGCTTCTTCCCAGAAACAGAAGCAAAAAATTAATTTACTCAAGACAAAAATAACTTTACAATAAATTAATATTTTCTAGTTAACCCTCATTAATTTGATATTTTCTTTTCCTTTTCCTTTTTATTTCTACTATACATTTCTTCACTTTTTATTTTAGTCATATTTTTATTCTCTTTCTCATATTCCTACGAGTAGATTTTAAATTTATATTGAATGATGTAGTTTGATATATTTAAATTATCAGGTAAACAATAAGTAATACCAACACTCAATGTTATTGCTTTGGAATAACTTAATTTATAGTTTTACTTTACGTTTTATGTTTTAATTGAATTCTTTTATTTTTCTTTTCTAAATAATACTGATAGCAAATTGAACATTTAATGTCCTTTTTTTGTAATTTAATTCGTAAAAGTGTTTTTTTAAAACGATTGGCCAAACACAATGAGCTTGCAAAAAATACTATTCAAATGATATTTTGCAAAAGTACTTTTTCAAAAAGTATTTTTCAAAATAAGCAGTTTTTGGCAGCTTGTCCAAAGGGGCTCTAAGTCACGAATACAATTGCGCCTCAATTTTAAACAAGTTGGGGTCGGATGCATGATCCTGACAGACTATGTTACTCAATTTAAATATCCCATGCCAATATTATGCAAATTCATGTAAAAAATATTAAAAGTTCTGTGTATATTTTCTTAACGTATAAATCTTTGAAAGGTTAAACCTCTCTTAGAAAGACCTACAGTAAAAGTGCTAAGTTTAAATATTCTCCATTAGTAATATGTATAGCTTATAAAGATATTTTTCTTTTATAGTGTCATACCTTTTGTACTTTTTGCATTTATCCTCAAGAATTATATAGTTTTAGGTTTACCCCATTCTCTTTTTACACCATAATAATATTTGATAATATAGTAAAATAATTTTTTTTTAGGATTTTTTCATTCCTATACACTATTGTTATTATCCTAAATGTTCATGTTTAGTAAATTTCCCTACCTACACAAGTTTTGCTTACAAAATATATACATTCCACCTTAAAAGGCTCCAAATCCATTATTAGTGCCTTCAATTAAGGGATTTAGTTACACTCTTTTCCTTTTTTTTTCTCCTCTCTCCTCTCTTCTCTCCAGATTCTGTCTTTCTCCTTCATTTTCTCGAATTCCTACAATACAAATTAAAAGTGAGATACTTCCATACAATACCAAACAAAATGCAAATAATTACCACTCTTTTTAGCAGCAATCCACTAAGAAATGGACAAGATACCCATCAGCAATTATTTTAAACTCTATCTTGGCACACTATCTCTTTTTCAAACAAACAGTTAATGATGATAGGCGTCACTTTTAGGTTAGAGTGGTTATTCACAATAAAACAATGATGCAGTAGCATAAAAAAATTAAATCCTAAAAATTTAATTTATATTAAGCTCCTACGACAAACTAAGCTTCTTATCTTGGTTTGAGATTGGTACAATCAAAACGTTAATTAATAAAACAAAACTTTAATATATATTTTTTTTACTTTAGATCTGGAGTAGATATGGAGGACAAAGAGCCAATTTTGTCTACATTTTGATTAAAATTTTAAGGATATGGGCAACTGGTTCACCTGTTGCGTTCAAAGGCGTGAGAAAGTCGCAGGAATCCCTAGAGCTGGAATTTTAACGTTTGCCAAATCTATAGGAACCAGTGGTATTATTCTTCATTCCTGATAACATGCGACGAAGACATCTTTGCCAAAGCCTCTCTCACATCCCAGTTATATACAGCTACAATATAATACCACTAATATAATTTTTATACAATATGTCTTTTGTATATTTTGTATCTAATTTATACATAGTAAAAATAAATTTCATACAACTAATTATATATTATACAACTTATCTACAACTTTTACATATTATTTCTACCCAGTTAAATACAACTCCAATAACATACAACTTAAATACAAATTTTATACAACATGTCTTTTGTATATTTTGTATCTGATTTATACATAGTAAAAACAAATTTCATACAACTAATTATATATTATACAACTTATCCACAACTTATCTACAATTTTCATACATTATTTCTACTCAGTTATATACAACTACAATATCATAAAACTTAAATATAATTTTTATACAACGTTGTTCAACTTTCATACAATAGTTAAATAAATAAAAGAAAAATATATAAACAACAGAATACAATTTTTCTATAATTTCACTACAATTTCTGCAGTATAAGTATGTCATGTCTTCTTCTTCTTCTTCTTCTTCGAGTTTCAATCTGAAATTCAACCCAAACCAAGTCTAATCTTCACCAAAACCCCTCAAAATTGAGATATAAACTCCAAACCATATTCCCAATTATTTGCAACAACACCCAATCCAAACAAATAATGATTTTTGAAAACCCAAATTTGAATTTAAAGCTTCAAAGCTTTTTAATGGCTGTCAATGGTGGAATTGCTGCTCTCTTTTCCTTTACTTTACATTACTGAAATTTGGGATTGAGAGATAGAGAGAGACGTAGAGAGAATTCTCAATTCTTTGCAACAACATCCAATCCAAACAAACAATGTTTTTGAAAACCCAAATTCAAATTCAAAGCTTCAAAGCTTTTTAATGGTTGTCAATGGTGGAATTGTTGCTCTCTTGTGCAAGATACGTGGGGAGGGGGTGGGATATGGAGAGAGAAACGTGGGGGAGTGGAAGATATGTTAGAGTAATTTTAGGACACTAATTATTATCATTAATTTCCTTAAAATGTACATAAATAGTAATTGGATATATAAAATGTAATTATAGTAAAACTTGAGTAGGGAAGGTAATATAGTTTTGTATCGGAATGTAATAATTCTTTTTTTTTTTTTTTTAATTATAAAGAAGTCAACATGGGCCGCAAGTTCTGGACTAAATGGGCCGTCTAAAATAACGGACTTAACTGACAATATCGTCTCTGCTAAAATTGTAAAACCTACAGCCTTAAACCCTAGGGAAAAAAACGAAGGTTTTTACTGTTCTCAACAACAATGGAGGAAACCAACATGGATGATTGTGAACAGAACCGTGAATCCGAGGTTGCTCCAGCTTTAATTGCAGTTCACCCAACTCATCAATCCGTTGCTGTCGCCGTCGGTTCAAATCTCCGTGTCTTTAATCTTCAGTAAGCGTCATTCAACTATAATTTTAATTCAAGTATGTGCGAAGAAAATAATTATTTCTCACTAATTCTTATGACAATGTGTTCAAACGTAGTACTTGTTCGTATTTATGCGCATAATTTCACTGGGTACAAAGTTTAATATAAGGAAAACTACTGGAACTTGTGGTTTTAAAATGAATTAATTAAAATTTTAATTAATCCATATATAGAAAGCTTCATCTATAATCATTAGTCAGTGTGTGCTGAGAATCGTTACACTTTCTGTTTTTTATGATAATTTGTTCAGACATAATGTACCTCACACGAGGTAGGGCTAAGGTTTGCGTACACCCCGTACTCCTTATACCTCACTTGTGGGATCACATTGGTATGTTGTTGTTGTTGTTCAGACTTAATGTATGTGTGTGTCTATATATATAAGTGAAAGGGCCGACCAGTGCACTAAGCTCCCACTATACGCAGGGTCCGGGGAAGGGACGGGCCACAAGAGTCTATTGTATGCAGCCTTACCCTGCAAATATGCAAGAGGCTGTTTCCAAGGCTCGAACCCGTGACCTCTTGGTCATATGATAACAACTTTACCAGTTACGCCAAGGCTCCCCTTGTCTATATATATGTCATAAAAATAATTTCAAAAAAAAGAAGATATATATATATATATATATATATATATGTATGTATATATATAAACCTAATTACAAAGAACCATTAATAGTCACAACCATTCATATATGTTTGACTTATTTCAGACCCATGTCGTTGTAATACCGGTAAATATTTTATTTCTGTAAGAAAATCAGAGGGAAGTGTAACAACAGTAACGAAGACTTTTTTTTTTTTTCCTAATGACACTGAATGGAGATTCTGTTATCCGTTTTTTGTTATAGATTTATGCTACTTAAAAAAACAAAGATTTGCGCTTTACAACTTGGTTATATATTAAACTCTGTAATTTGATGCAGAGAAGGTTGTTCGGTTTCATTGGTGGATGATTCAGGGGTGCACATGCATAAGGATTCAATAAGAGCAATTCGGTATGGTGCTGAAGGCAAGCTCTTTGTATCTGCTGGAGATGACAAACTTGTTAAGATTTGGTTGACTGATTCTTGGCGCTGTATAAGTTCGGTGTAAGTTTCTGATGTTCAAGTTCTGCTTTGCTAAAATGTACTTAACACAGTGCAACTTTAAGCTTTTAAGTTAACATTAGGTGCAGTCCGGAAAAAACGTTATCAATTTGCTTACATTATTTTAAAAAATTTAGCAGAAAATATATCCTTCATAGCTATCCTAATTAAGAGGAAATTAAATGAAAGAAAGGGCAGCCTGGTGTACTAAGCTCCCGTTATGCGCGGGATCCGGGAAAGGGTCGGAACACAAGGGTCTATTGTACGCTACCCTGCATTTCTGCAAGAGGTTGTTTCTACGGCTTGAACCCGTGACCTCCTGGTCACATGACAACACCTTTACCAGTTACGCCAAGGCTCCCCTTCTAAGAGGAAATGAAATAAAAAGAGAATTAATTACATGGTTAGTTGGCGGCAAAGCATGTTAATTGATCTAATTAGCATTTCAACTTTTTGTTTTGATGATCAAGTGTTCTTATCTATACTATTACTAGTCATTATGCATGTGCCATGTACATGTATTTCACGTGATTTTGAAGAGTATGTCATTTAAAAAATATCTTATGAAAATTGTTAATACCGATACTAATATTGAATTCATATAGCTTAAGTGATGACATAAGGTAGAGACCTAAGCTAGCACCAAAGAAAATTGGACCAAATAATGTTGGATGCAATCCTAACCCCATATACATAGTTCAAAAGCACTCATAAGGAAGAAATTATAGTTACTTTACACTGTTCAAATAAGGAAAGGATTCATATAAGTAAAATCTTACTCGGTTTTAAACTCCTAAATATTAGGAGTTCATACATATATAGTTCAAATAAGGAAAGATTTAATAGCCAAAACTTTAGTTAATCTCAAAGTCTTAAATATTAGAAAATAATTAATGACAATTCTGTCCAATATAAAATTTATTCTTAAAGGGTAAAAAGGTCGACTAATATTTCATGTTGAGTTTCGTGCTTTTACTATACCTACACGAAAATGTTGATAGACCTTTTTACTCTTCAAAAATAGATTTTACACTGCCCAAAAATTGTTATTTTATTTATTTTCCTAATATTTAGGACTTTGAAATTAACTAAAGTTTTGATTATTAAATCTTTCCTTATTTGAACTATGTAGGAACTCCTAATATTTTAGGAATTTAAAGTCGATTAAGATTTTACTTTTATAAATCCATTCCTTATTTGAATTGCATAAAGTAACTATTAGGGGTGTTCATGGTTCGGTTTGGATCGGTTTTTTCTTTATAAAAAACCAAACCAAGTAAGTCGGTTTTTCAAATATTAGAACCAAACCAAACCCATTAAGTCAGTTTTTTCTCGATTCGGTTTTTGTCGGGTTTTCGGTTTTTTCGGTTATTTGTCGGTTTTTTCTTAAATATAAGACATACACTACCAAACACATATTCCGGCGACCACATTTTCAACGTAACACTATCAAATCAATTGCCCTTTGAGAAGCTATTATTTACCAAGATATATTGATGATAATTGAATCAAATAGTGATGAATAATTTAAGGACTCAATTAAAAATATATTATTTTTAACACGAAATGGATTCTTACACTTAACAAAAGAAAACTACCAATCAAACTAGAATGTAAAGGTAAAGAACTATACTAAAAGTGCAAACTATTAACATTTACCATTAAATTTTTGAAACTTTGTATAAAAATATACATATATATAGGTGTAATAATAAATTTGAAATAGCTACTCTTATAGTCGGTTTGTTCGATTTTTTTCGGTTTTTTTCTGATTAAAACCAAAACCAAGCCAAATTTGATCGGTCTTTAAAATTCAAAACCAAAACCAAACCAAACCAAAAAGTATCGGTTTTTTGGTCGGTTTGGTTTGGTTTTCGGTTTGGTTCGGTTTTTCGGGTTTTTATAAACACCCCTAGTAACTATATCTCCTTCCCTATGAGCTCTTTCAAACTATGGATATGAGATAAGATTCCACCAAGTATTGTTTGGTACACTTTTTTCTACGAAAATTGCTATTACTTCTTGAAGGGAGGTTGAAAATCTGTTACAGAATAAGCTGGTGCTAGCTTAAATCTCTGTGCTATCATCACTTAAGCTATAATAATGGGTGAAAAATCATACAAGACATGTTCCAAAAAAAAGGGAAGAGAACAAAGCAAAAGGAAGTTTTTTTTTTGGAGAAAGGTAACACGAGGAAGATTTTTTTTTAAAAAAAAAACTAACATCACAATAATAGTCAACTAAATATTATTTTTTTTTTCATTCAAACTTGTAACTTTATATGATATCCAATCATTTTGAATTCAGTACTAGATTATTGATACAACAACTTTCATAAGATATTTTGCAATGATATGCTCTTCAATACTTGGAATAATGTGCAACACACATGCATAATGACTAGTGTCATGCTATTGTGAACAAATAATGGTGTTTCTTCTGAATTTTCCACATCAGAAAATCTTTCTAGAAGTGGATGTCTATTTAATACTCCCTCCATTTATTTTATGTGTCTTAGTTTGATTGGACGCAGAGTTTAAGAAAGTAAGAGAGACTTTCGAATATTGTGGTCTTAAATTAAAGATGTGTATACTTTAAATCTAGTGGTCTTAAAATGCCATGTGGGATGTTGGAAAAGAGTTACTAAATATAGAAAGCGGCGTTCTTTTTTAACCAGATCAAAAAGAAAAGTAAGACACATGAATTGAAACTAACAGAGGATGTACATTTTTTATTTTCTTATAATTATTGGTTGGACTATCTACGGCAAATTATTTGATGAAACTATCCACTGCTGAAATTTTTTCTTTTCTTTCCCCGTTTCTCCCTTTTTGTTTGTTTTAGATTTTCGTCATTAGGTTTTGAAGTTTATCTAGGACAACAATTTTACCATAGTTGCTATCCTTAGGCAAATCAAAATTTGGTATTTTCATGATAAATGTTGCAATATAAATATCTACATAAATTAGAAATTTCACAAATGCACTTCAAAATATAAAATTACCAAATTCATGTACTCATCAGTGCCAATAATTCATCCGTATGTCCTATGGATTTTACTTTGAAGAAATCTAAATTCTAAACTTCAGATTAATGGACTGAAATGAGTCATTTTAGATTTTGATTCTAATAAATAACAAGAACAACCCAGTATAATCCCACTAGTGGGGTCTGGGGAGGGTAGTGTGCACGCAGACCTTACCCCTACCCTGGGGTAGAGAGGCTGTTTCCAATAGACCCTCGGCATCCCTCCCTCCAAGAATTCCCCACCTTGCTCTTGAGGTGACTCGAACTCACAACCTCTTGATTCTAATAAATATTGATTAATATTTCGAGATTTACAATTTATTTGTTTTTCCTTTTTACTTCTTTCTCTCCTTTGGAACACATCTAGAATGAATGATTTTTCACTCATTATTATAGCTTAAGTGATGACATAAGGTAGAGATCTAAGCTAGCACCAGAGAAAATTGAACCAAATAGTATTGGATGCGATCCTAACCCTATATACATAGTCCAAAAGCACGACTAAGGCATGAGTTATAGCTACTTTACACAATTCAAATAAAGAAAATATTTATATAAGCAAAATCTTAGTCGATTTTAAATTCCTAAATATTAGGAGTTCATACATATACAGTTCCAATAAGGAAAAATTTAATAATCAAAATTTTAATTAACCTCAAAGTCCTAAATATTAAAAAAATATTAAAATGATACTTTTGTCCAATGTGAAATCTATTTTTAAAAGGGTAAAAAGGTCGATCATATTTCATGTTGGGTTTCATGCTTTTATTATACCAACACGAAATGTTCATTGACCTTTTTACTCCATAAAAATAGATTTCACTTGGATATTATTTTTCTAATATTTAGGACTTTGAGATTAACTAACGTTTTGGTTACTAAGTATTTCCTTATTTGAACTGAGTAGGAACTCCTAATATTTAAGAATTTAAAATGGAGTGAGATTTTACTTATGTAAATTCGTTCCTTAATTGAATTGGGTAAAATAACTATAACTAATATTTTATGAGCGCTTTCGAACTATGCATATAAGCTTAGGATTCCACCAAGTATTGTTTGGTATACTTTTCTCCGGTGCTAGCTTAGATATTTGCCTCTGTCATCACTTAAAGCTATAATAATCCGTGGAAAATCATCCAAGCTATGTTCCCAAAAAGAAGGGAAGAGAACAAATCAAAAGGAAGATCTTTTATTAAAAACTATGTTGCAATAATAATTAACTAAATATTTTTTTTCAAATTTATAAGTTCAAATAATGTCTAATCATTTTGAATTCAGTATTAGATTGTTGATACAACTTTCATAAGACAATTTCCAATGATATGCTCTCCAAAATCATCTGAAGTACATGTACAACTCACATGCATAGTGACTAGTATCATGTTAAATGTTACTATGAAACAAATAAATTCTTCTGAATTTTCTACGTCACTAAATCTTCTTATAAGCGGATGTCTGTTTAATACTCTATCCGCTTTGTTTTACGTCTCTTATTTTGACTGGATTACATAGTTTAAGAAATTAAGAGAGACTTTTGAGTTTTTTTTTTGGATAAGTTGAGAGACTTTTGAATCTTGTGGTTGTAAACTAAAGATGCGTATAATGTTCCAAAATGTCATTTAAATCTTGTGGTCTTAAACATGCCATGTGGGATGTTGGGAAAGAGTTATTAGCTATAGAAAGTGGCATTCGTTTTTGGAACAAATTAAAAAGGGAACATAAATTTTTTTCCCTTGATAATTATTGGTTGAACTATTCACTGCAGATTTTTTTAATGGAACTATCCACTGCAGAAAGTTGTTCTTTTCTTCCCCCCTTTCTCTTTTTTTGTTTGTTTTGGGTTTTCGTCATTAGCAGTTGAAGTTTATCTAACTGTTACGGTTTTAATAGGTCATCCGAGAAGAGAGTTAGTGCTGTTGCCGTTAGTAATGATGGTCGTTTTGTATCTTTCGCGGATAAATTTGGTGTAATATATGCAGTTGAAATAGAAGCTTTTCATGAAAATCAAAGCTTGCCCAATAAGAAGGCAGTCCCAATTCTTGCCCACTACTGCAGCATCATTACTAGCCTGGTATTTTTCTTTTCTTTTCCTTTTCACATAAATTGCTTTAGTTTTCTATGCATCTACTTTTTACCCAATATCTTTTCTTTTTGATTGGTAATTTTTTTTTACCCTATATATGTGAGGGTTAGTGATTTTCTCAGCTATTGTTTTGATACTCACGAGTGGTCTTATGACGTTGTAAGCAGTTTTCCATGGAAATTGTGTTTTCATACACACTGTTCTTGCAATTGTATTTATGTCTTTACTTTTTACCCAAATATTTGAGGTAAAGACTTATTACCTGTCTCGATGCATATCTTTTGCAATTTTGTAAGCTTTCTCCATTCTGGTGGTCAAGTATAATCATTATCCACTCTGATGACCAGACCATGATACTCTTATTGTCTATGATTACCTTATATCAGATTATGTTCAGCTTATTCCTAGTAAACCACATATCATATCGCACTTTACTGTATCAAACTAGATTTGATCCCATAGTCAAGGCCTCTAGTTTCAAAAGCTAGTTTGTTTTTCTCAAAGTGAATTTTCACCGTGTAGGAGTTTTCACCTGACGGACGTTACATTATTAGTGCAGATCGGGACTTCAAAATCCGAGTAATGTCATGCTTCCTACTAATCATGAATCACAGTAAGATATCTTGATGTTCTCCTGCTAACATCAGAATTTTCTTATGGGTCATAATGACAGGTCTCTGTGTTCCCGGAAAAGCCATCAGATGGAGCTCATGAGATTCAGAGCTTTTGTCTTGGCCATACCGAGTAAGAATTTCTTGAAATTCTGGTGGTCCTAACACCCTCAGTATGATAATCAAGCTGATGTAGAACAGTCTTTCCTGAAAAATGTTGATTACATTGCTAAAATTCTTAAAATCTACTGACAGTTTTCTCGCCATTATTGATAAAAACCAATCTTGACATTTGACCAGGATTCTTGACCCCAAAACAAATGAGAGAAAACATTTTGACCAGGATGATTTAGGTGGTCAATTTTCTTGTCCTCCATCATGGTACTTCTAGAATATCTGTACCATGCCTAACAGTGAGTTGGTGGAGCATTTTTTTGTGTACTTGCTGAATTTCTTCTCCTTTTACACGTTTGGTAGCTGCTGTTGGTAAAGTGTTGCATGCACTATCAATGGCATTTAATAAAGCACATCGTTGACATTGATTAAGCTGGTTCAAGTTTTACCAAGTATTCCAGATTTTCTTCAAAGATCAGTGTATAGGTCAACTAAACTTGGCAAAGATATAGGTGTTTTTGGTATGTGTTGCAAATAAGAATTCTTTTTGCCAATTATGCAAGCTAGTTCAAGGCCTTAAAAGGTGAGTATGTAATCCTTGTTAGTGTTATCTGTATCTCTTAGGCGAGTATGTAATGCTTGTTAGTGTTATCTGTATCTCTTTTTGTGTCCATGCTGACTATATTTTTCATTTCGAAAATGCATTTTAAACAGCAACAGTTTAAAATTCTATTCACCCCCCCCCCCCCCCCCCCAAAATAAAAAGAAAAGAAAAAAGAGATGAAAAGCTTTGTTATCTGTTGGCGTGTATTTTTGTGGGAGGAAATTATATGATTTTGACAATGGTAGTTGGTTATGATGGCCATGGGCTCATTTGTTATGTCTCAATTGTCAGGTTCGTTTCCTGTGCCTTCATTTGCAGCAAGGATTCCCAGCAGCGGTATTTACTTTCTGGAGGTGGTGATTCAACTGTGAGTAAATTCCTTAAATGAATAATTTTTTCTTACTCTACTTAAATCTCACTTTTGCGCCTTTAAGACCCCATTTTGAAAAGCTAACAAATGCCACCCTCAGCATTTGGCTATTGATTTTCTCTGTTCAGCACAAGCCCGTGACTTAGCAGCTAGGAGGCAAAACAGAATTAGTGACGTAAACTACAAAATGAAATTAGTTACTAAACAAATGTACCTTAAAAGAATTATATGAGCGTGTAACTTCATATTATATTTTATCTACCTTGAACCATAATGTATGAGGAGTATCATGCAACCTATGCTCTTTTTTCTTTTTCAGGTACGCCTATGGGACTTCACTTGTGGTTCTCTTCTTGATACCTGTCATATTGGGCCGGAGGTAGCTTCATTTTTTGGCCTAAGATATTTGATTGATTTATTTTACTTTCCTCTCTCCATCACATTACACAGTTGGCTGGTCAAATCTATTTCATAGAAAGTAGAAATGGTGAACCATGGTTTTTAGAGACATGATTTGAGTGATTTTCAATCCCTCAAAGCAGCGATGGCCGTGAAGTAGGATGTCAAGTGACCTGCCTTTTTCCTCCATTTCCTTTCTTCCACCACCATTTTGGTGGTGAAATGTGAAACTGTAAGTTCTCATGTTCAGCTTGGTGCTTAATTTCCTCTATGATTGTGAAGACAGGACTCTCACAGTCAAAAGGAGTAGATGACAGCTTGCTGGCTGTCACCGATCTCTGTGCCACTCGTGGTGGATCATTAATTGCAGTGGCCATTCAGAGGCAAGCCTCTTGTTATTTCAGCATGATGCCTTTTCATCCGTATAGGAATCGGTCAATTTGTTCTTGAATTGTGATACTTCTTTTCTTCGCATTGTAGCAGCTTGGCAGGAGTGGTGCTTTTGAGTTGCAACCTTTCAGCTAGATCTCTCCGTTTTGCAAGGGTAAGTTCCTTCTCTGTCTCAGATTATGGAAATCTGATTAGGTTGTGTCCCGTTCAAAGTTACAAGTTACAACGACCAGCAAGTGAAAATGTTATATGATGCTGCATGTCAATGTTATTTTAAAAGGAAAAAGGTCCAAGTTTACCCCTATACTATCCGAAATTGTTCAATGATTCCCTTAGTTGTACTTTTGGCCCGTGCCATTATTGGAGACTCCAATGTGAAATTGGTGGATGTGTCCAAATTCTTCGAGAAAAGAAGTCCAAATTTACCCCTTAACTTTTGATTATGGTTAAAATCACCCTCATGTTGGAGCTCCATTAGGGGTCAAGGGCTAAAATGGTTTTTTCTAACGATGGGGGTAATATTAGAACAAAGGTCTGACAGAGGCAAAAGTTGCTCGATTTCGCATAGTACAGGGAAGATTTGATCCTTTTCCCTACTTTATATTTAATGCTGAAGAAAACTGAGATTGAATTCGTGACTGAACCGTTTGTATGCTTAACCTTTGCCCTTGAATGTAATTGTCAGGTGGTACCAATTCCTGGGGAGACTTTTATTCCCACAAGCATAGCAGCTGCCTACTCGTCGAATCAATTATGGATGGTCATGGGTGCTTCGACTCTATGTGCTTCCGATTCAGCACCTTTGGCTCGTGTGAAGGTTGTCGATGGTTTCTGTGATAGCAACCAGGACTCTGTTGAGCACGAGATGCTTGTCTTAGAAGATAAAGATATACGAGGTGGTGAACAACTCCTTCAAACGTTGCAGGGCAGTTCGTCGATTGAGAAAGATGCATTAGCGACAGCTGCAGAAGCAGTGAAAACTGCAATGTGTAATCTATTAATCAAGAAGCAGTACCCTTCAGAAAATCGAGAGTTTAGAAAGAGAGGGAGGAACGACAAGAAAGTAAATAAGAAAAAATGATCTTGGTAGGCAAAGTTATCTGATATCTGTGCTGGTGGGAGGTTATCGGAGTATTTCTAGGTCTCCGAATTACCCGGTAGTTGAATTTGCTACCAACAGTGAGCAAAGTGGCCTTCCAGCTAAAGCTCATAGACAGTTCTAATGCTGCAAGAAATGGAATTTTGCCTTGTTGTGATGTAGTTTTTCTACTTTATTCACAATTTGTTATAATGATGTTGCCACCATTGAACAATGGTGGCTACTATTATTAACAAATTATTCACCCTCTTTGTAACTTGTTTCTATTGCATACGTTTGCATTAGTTCTGGTATATTACTGTAGTTAATTGTGGTGCTTTTGACATTCCTATAATTGAAAAGCCTTCTTCTGTCTTGTTCAGACATTGATAACCTTTCTTGTTTGAAATTATATTTAGTGTTTTTCTTATATTTTTGGCTGCTGGTCTATATTTTGTCCATTACTCAAATGGTCTTTCATATATTCGAAATTATCAAGTAAAGTTATATTTCTTTTGTTTGTAACAGAAAAGTCATACAACTATTTCTATAGAACTCATAAGGTTACTTAACTAGATTTTGTGAAGGGAAAAGGTCCAAATTTGCCGCTCTACTTTCGAATATTGTCTGCATCTAACCTCCGTTATACTATTCAGCCAAATTTATCTCTATCGTTATACTATCCGGCCAAATTTATACCTGCCATCAGCAAACATTTAAAAATTACCTCTCAGTCCGTCAGGTGACCCAAAATCTCTCAAATCATTTTAATTAAGTCACTTATTCTTCTTCTTCTTGATCCATTATTTTTGAAATAGTTACCATTTACCTGCTTTTTTAATCAGGAAAAAAAATGAAAAAAAATATTAAAATAATACAACGGTTAGTAAACAAAGTATAATAAATTGAAGAATCTAAATTATGTAGCTTGTCTAAATTCCAAAAGTATTTACTATTTACAATGCCCCAACTTTAATAAATTCGTTGCACCAAAGGTTGGCCATTGCAAGTATTAGGGATAGAAGTTGAAGTTCCTTGAGGACTTTACATTGTCCAGTTCAACTTTGCTTTAATCAAATATCTACCCATTGTACACTCTTAAGTTAGTTGATCGAACTCTATACTAATTAGAAAATAACAAAATATATATATTCGAATATATACATGTACATACATGATGAGCAGCTGCATATAATAGACAATAAATAGACCCCATAAATTCTACAGTGTGTATATGGTTGAAATATAAATAAAATTTTAAACCAATTCCAAACTCATTATCACAAGAAGAGAAGTGGGCGCAATGGTAACTAAAAGAATCAAAGAATAATTTATATAATCTAGTACCTTTAGCATTCACATCAATAGTAATTTCTGAAAATAGTGGAGCAAGAAGAACAACGAGTGATTTAAATAAAAGGAAATTGAGAAATTTTGGATTACCTAACAGATCAAGGGTAAGTTTAAAAAGTTTGTTGATGGTAGGTAAAATTAAGCCGGATAGTATAACGGTAGGGGTAAATTTGGACGGATAGTATAACGGTAGGGGTAAATTTGGACGGATAGTATAACGGAAGTTAAATGTCGACAATATCCGAAAGCATAGGAATGTATTTGGCCCTTTCCCCTTTTGTAAAACTTTTGGTGGCCAAATATCTATTTTACCATCTAAATTATCAACATTTATCTTTTTTTGATACTTTTTAAATCTTTTATATATTATGATTTTTTTCTTTTTACTCTATATTATGGACTTGCCTATAGAATAAATAAATTTATTTGTAAAGTAAAAAAGAGGAAAAAAAAGTTTTCAAGTATATATAATATAACACTCCTCAAATCTATACAAGTTTAAAAGACACGCTAAATATAGAATTAATTTTTTTTAATCTTTGCCTAGAGTGTAAAAAAAAATTACAATTAAATTTTGGAACAATCCTTTTTACGAAAACAGAAAAGCCTTCTGTTCATTTTCACGAACAGAGAACCACGGACCAAGGCAGCTTACTCACGCAGGCAACAGGAAGTTCTAGGTTTCTTTACAAATCACTAATTCTTGAACTCAGGTATATAAAATTTTCTATTCTCAATTATCCTACAGTATAAGAATTGGATAGTTAATTCCCTTCTTTCTCTGTGTCAACCGTAAATTCCATGTTTAGGTGTGAAACTTTAAAATTGATTAAAATGCACTGGTTGTTGTAGAATCGATTGTTTGATAGGTATAAATTGGACTGGGCCTACGTATTGGCTCAAGGAGTTTTGAGGTGAGTTGATATAACCCTTTACTAAAGTGGTTTAACTCACAAAAGCACGCATTCAAGGTGTTTGATGATTTGCTTAAAAGAGTTTATATGTACTTAATTGGAGCGAGTGAGTATCTATTAACTTAGAATTGTTCTAGCTAAAGTTTAGATGATTTATTATGATATATGTGCATAAATTTTCAGATTTTTGTGTTATTCTTATATTTCATTTTCATGTTGAAAATTCATGAAGGAGCAAGAATCTTTAGATATACTTTTGAATATTTATTTCATTCTTATGTCATGCTTTACATTTAAGGATACCAGTATGAGTATGTATAGGATGTTTCAGAAAAGATTTAGACTTGAAAAGTCACAAGAAGAAGCTTTAGAAAGAAAAGATTTTTGGGAGTATCCTCTATTCTGAGAAGGGGTCATCGTCCAGGCCGAGGGTCTTGATCAAGGCGTCGACTTCCTGAAACTACTTGTGCCAAAGTAGGGAGCACACGAGCCGAGGGTTTCGTTGCTGAGAATTTGCCAAGCTAAGGTATGGTACATGAGCGCTGAGAACCATGAAACGAGTGGCACCTCGTGGATTGGGCCTATTCGATCAGGTTGGGATTGAACCCGTGACGATCACACGGTGACTGAAACAGAATTAAGTCAGGATAGTTGGAACTCCTGAACTATATAGTGAAGCAATTTTTTTTTATTAAGAAAAAGAAAAGAATTTCTTTAAGAATATTCATAAACTGGTATATTGCAATTATTTTACAATTGTTCTTAGAAGCTTTATGTTTCCATGTCTTTAGAATCTTTGCTCGTAATGTATATTTTATTAAAGTTTTGTCCCCTGTCGTTGAGACTTACCGAGTACAATGGATGGTACTGACGTTCTCTTTTGGGAACCTATGTTGGTCTGTGGTACAATGTAGGAACCGATTTTGCAGGCGAGCAGGCTACGGGTTAGGACTTTCCTCTCTTCCAGTGTTATTGGTGAGCTCCGCTTTTGTTCGTGGAGTATTCCTTAGAGTCATCTTTATTTAGCTATTTCTTTGTTTACTTGGAGAACTAGTCAGGCAATCTCATGTCCTGAGTAGTGCGTCAGTTTATTAGTAGAGGCTTCATAGACACAGTCGGTGGGTTAAGATTCAGATGTTTTTGATAATAATTTAGCAGTATTTCATTGGTTACTACGAATAAAGTTTTGGAGTTGGTTTACTTTAGATATTTAAATTAATTAAAAGTATTTGGTTACAGTAGTGTCTTGTGGCATATAAAGTTTGAAGTTATAATAGATTTGATAAGCGCAGATGGTTTGCTCGATCATGTTTAGTGATCGGGTGCCGGTCCCGACTTGTTCAAAAAATGGGTCGTGACAAACTTGGTATCAGAGCCTCAGTTTTATAGAGTCCTAGGGGTCTATGAAGCTGTGTTAGTAGAGTCTTGTTTATGGGTATGAAGCGCACCATACTTATAAACAGGAGGCTACAAGAATTTAGGAAAAGCCTCATTTTTTTTCATACTTTAGATCGTGAAGTAGAGCTTACCTCTAAGAAATTATCTAATGTATTCGTTTCTCCAAAACTCGCAGAAATGGCTCGTACTCGCAACTCTGACACCGACACTCAGGATGCTGCTCAAGAAACTATTGCTACTATTGTGGCTCAAGGTAGAACTAAGAAGGCTTCATTTCAGAAAAGGAAGGGTAAATCCACAAAGGGGGTTCAAGTACCCCGGGTTGAACATGAAGAAGGGGTGGAGCATGATGATGCAGTACCTCAGGATCCAGTGCTGCCCCCAACAGCAGCTCCGGCTCAGATAGCTATATCTCCAGAGGTGGGTCAGATGTTTAATGCTACCAACAGTGTTATGGAGATGTTTAAAGCCTTTATGGCCAACCAGAACGAGAGAAGAGATGAGCTTCCACCTCAATCAAATAGACAGAACAATTCTGAGTCCTCAAGTGTGAATGAATTTTTAAAGTTGAGTCCTCCATTGTTCCATAGTTCTATAGCTGATGAAGATCCAGTGTTATGGCTGGAGGGTGTCAAGAAAGCCCTCCGAGCGATGAAGGCATTTGATGATGAAGCTGTGGAGCTAGCTGCTTACCACCTTAGAGATGTGGCTGGCGCTTGGTTTAAGATGTGGGAAAAGGAAAGAGATGAAGATGATGGTACTGTGAGCACGTGATTTTTGCCACGCTTAAATTACTCCTATAGAATTCATTAAAATTAGAATTTTTCTTTTAGTATTTGAATTTTTAGGAATTAATTGCATGATTTTGTGTCTTGTTTGCATTTTATGTGCATTTTTAGTTGTCATAAAAAATGAAAAAATAACAAAATAGCATACTTGCATTAAGTACCCAATTCTAGATTTTTAGATTAATTAACATCATTGAAAATAAGAGAAAAAATAACAAAAAATAACCCTTTTACATTTTTTGTCTCTTTAATTTTTACTTTTTGTTTAATTCTCTTCATAAAATTAGGATCTAGTTAATCTTAGGAAATTTAATTAGTTCAATTCTAGATTAAAATCAGGTTTATTTTATCCAACAAAATCAAAATAAAATAAATATTTTTGAATAAAAAGAATTGAAAAGAAAAGAAACCAAGGATCAAATATGTTGTTTCTTAAATTTGGGCCAATGTCTATAGCCCAGGTTAAAAGCCCCAAACCCACTTCAACATTAGCCCAGATCCATACCCCTACCCGGTCCGCCCCTTTTTAATCCAAAACGGCATCGTTTCATATGAATTAATCCTGGCCGTCGAGGATTCTTGATCCTACGGCCAGGAACTCTGTTGTATTTTCTGGTACATCCTTATGGATTGGATTAGTCTTTCTGGTGGGTATCCTTAATTCTCTCATCTCTTGAACCTATTCGTCGCAGACCCAAAACCAAAATGACCCCCCTAATTTTTCTCGGTTGTGAGACACATTAAATTGGAATCTAAGTCCCCAAAGAAAACGCAAATCAAATAAAGAAAACAAAAAAATTAGAGGGGGGTCAAACTTCTTGAATAAAAAGAATACAATTAAATAAAAAAATAATTGGAATCGTTCCGAAGAGAATATGTGTCCCGGCACTGCACAAAAAAGATCCGGTTATATATCATATATGTGGGTACA